TCATCATCCTCATTCGCATTAACCGCATTATCAACACCATCATCATCGGCGTCGTAAGTATCACCACCATCATCAATAACATCTTGAACGTCATGTTATCGTCCAGCCGCGGGCAAGGCGGGTACGAAAAGGATGAATGATGCCCAGCACAACACGCCTGTCGGCAGTAGCCCCATACTCCTCCTTCTCCCGCTGCGCATCCCTGTCCTCCCCCCCCCCCGCTCCTGCTGCTGCTCGCCCCCTGTCCTCTATATATATCCTCCACCTCCCGATTCCCCTATGATTATCCTGCTATCCTCCACCTCCTGATAAACTATCCTGCTATCCTCCTCCTCCTCCTCCTCTTCCTCCTCCTCCTTTCCCTCATCTTCCTCCTGTCCTCCTCCTCCTCCTCTCGACCGCATTGCCGCCACCGCTGCTCTGGCGCAGGCTCTCCTCAGCAGACGGGGGAAAGCGCCCAAGACTCCCTAAATGATTCGAGGACCAGCGCCGACGACCTGCCTGCCACACGGACTGCAGCGTCGAGGCCGCGCGTCTTCGGAGTCTGGGTTCGGGTCCTCCGACAGTCTGCCCCAGCGACTCGGCGAGAGCTGCAGCCTGCCGCAGGCAGGACGTGCAAGGTGGTCGCCGGACGCCTGTCGGAATACTTGTTGCTTTGCTTCTCCCTCCAGCCGCGGCTCCCACTGCCACTTCTCGACCCCTCGCGCGCGCCTGCTTGGAGGGAAGGCAGAGAGGGGAACGGGACAAGGGGAGGAGGGGGCGGAAGGTGGCTCCGGGAGGGATCCGCGTGCAGACGGGGGGCGGACCAGCACGCTGTGCCCACTCCTCTGTTGCTCCTGCCTCGGGTTGGCATCTTTCAGGGGAGGCTCGACGATGACGAGCAGCCCAGGAGGGAGGACAGCGAGAACCAGTCAAGAGGCACAGGGAGGGGGGACCACGGAGTGGAGAAGAAGATCGTGCGGTCAAGGGGGAGGCGTGGACGAAGACGGCGCATGAGTCCTGGTATGAGGAGGGTGAAGAGGGGGAAGGTCACGCTGTTCCGTTCCTGCTGACCCCGTGTTGTGGAATCGCTGGAGGCCTTGAGGTGCCGCCTACTGGCACGAATCGGGAAACCGATGGGCGTGGCAGCGTGGCTCCTCTTGTTCAGGTTCTGGACCCCGACTTGGTGTACAGGTATCGGGCGGGCTCTCAGGTGAGCTTTGCCATGGACGCCGAAGCCGACGACATGGATCTGTGAGGTTGCCCGCTCTGGGCTGCGTCCAGGGCATCTCATGCTGCTCCTACCTCGCCCTCGGACACCTTGGATGGAGACTCCTTCCCGCCTGGTCAGTACTGCGTAGCGTGTGCTGCGCAGGTGCTTAGACATGTACTACGCCGGTCTGTGTAGCAATATCGCAATGGAGCCAATACTGGTACTGATGGACTGGATACACATGGCTATGTGAGGGCACAATGCTGGCTGATGTATGTCTTTTCGGTGACTTGGCCAATCGTCATTATTTGAATAGCACGTCTCTGCATGAGTGAGCGAATGCGCATGCAAACGAAGTCTCATCTGTTACGATGTGCATACTCATGTGTGCTGTCAACCTGTGATCGAGATTGGTGAGGTATGTACCTGCACCGAACATGAGTACGTATGCCCCCTTCCCAAGGCGCATCGTTTCCAGGCGTGTGGGCTACTGCCCTTGTCTGTCCCTGTACCGAGCATGAGTTCGTATGTTCCCTCCACGTCGCTTCCAGTAGGCGTTGAAGTTTTTGCGATGCCCTGGTCGCTCAGTGTCTCCAGCGCTTTGGATCACTTTTGTGCGCAGGGACAAAGCGTGTGATGTGACTGAACAAAAAACTTATGTATCACAATGCTGCAAGTATCTCTTCTCCTGTTGATAAGGCGTCATCCGAAGAAGTGTCTGTATGGTAGAACTGACTGATCTCCTGTAAGAACAACCGAAACAACCTGAATATCATGATGATGTCTCTCCCCCAGGTGTGCCCCATAGGGCTCCCATGTAGGGTATGAGGCCACGTCGAATGTACTGTCTTACCTAGCTGGGTGGCGCGGTCTCGTTGCTGTGTGTTTGGCCCATGTACGTGCCCATGTGCATGTCAACCTGTGACCAAAATATATTAAGTAGGTATCAATTCCACTGTGCTGTCTGGCCTTGCTGGATGTCGTTGTCTCTGTTGGTCGGTGGTGGTGTTGGTTGAGTGTGTTGTGAAATTGGTTGTGCTTTGCATTGGTGTCGGTGCTGGGCTCGCTGTTGTGTTTTCTATAGGTGCGGGTCAAGTGGTAGGTATCTTTGCGTGACCTCTGCCGTGCTTGGTGTTGGGAATTGTGCTCAGGTGGCACCTGCGCGCTGGGATGTTGTAGCTACCGTTGGCGTCGGTTGAGTAACCCCGTGGGTGTGCCGAACAGGTGCGTCTGTTGCCGTTGCGCGTTGTGTCGAGTGAGTGTGCGAGTTGTGGGAGTTGCCATGTTCGTATTTGAGTTGTGCTCTGGTCGTCGTGGCCCATTGTGCATAGGTCGATCGTATTGTGTTGCGCAAGGCTGTTTAGTAGGTTGAATTGTGTGGTACTCCAGATGCCGTGCTCGTCTCTGCTGTGTTCACGCTGTGTCTTCATTATGGCTGGTGTGTTGGTGTGTTGTGTTACTGCAATGAGTAGGGCTGCGTTCTGCAATCTGCGCTTGAGGTCACATGGCTTACGTAGCTGTTTGGCCGAAAGGTTCTCGCATCGTCAGTATGTAGCGTTGTGGTGTTGAGTGTCACTGCGGTTGATCCTGCCGTCGATGATTGCGATGATTGCAGCTACTTCGCCCTGAGCGATGTTGTCCATCCATGTTTCGACTGTGCGCTGGTGGGCTGAGTCGTATCCTGTTGCGTCGGTTGTGTTGATGCCAATGCATGTGTAGTGTCTTGTGATGGGGTGTTGCTCGAGGTTGTATTGTACGTCTGGTATGCCCGTTGAGTAGCAGGATCTATCTGGGGCTTCTTTTGTTGTCGTTGAGTGGCGTCCTTGGTGTTGGTTGTGTGCATGTGGTCGTCGTCGGTGGGTCAGCGTTGACGGGTACTTGCTTTTGCTGTCTTTTGTGGTTGGGCGGTAGGGTAACAGGTATGGTCGCGGCGTCGTGTCGTAGACCCTTGCAGCGGTTGGCCTTATTATCCTTGTCTTCCTCGATGCGTAGTGCTGCTAGCTCTGCTGTTGTCATGCTGCTCCTCCTCCTCCTCCTCCTCCTCCCTCTGCTCCTCCTCCTCCTCCTCCTCCTCCTCCTCCTGACCACCTCTTCTCCTCCTGTGACCGCGAGCCGACTTGAAACTTCAAACTTCAAACAACAAGTTTAAATGGTGTGCAAGAATGCACACAGAGAAACAATCCCATTCGCAAGAAGTGTTTCTAAGGCACGACAAAAACTTCTCGACCCTCACGCAAGGCCGCCGCTCGTAGATCGAGCGGGCCCCCTCGTCGTGAGAAGCTGTCCCTCGCCGCCGCGCGGCCGCCGGGCGCAGCCTCGCGGGGGCACCGCCGTGTCGAGGCCCGCGCGCCTGCGATCACACGCGCTCCAGGAACTCGCGCACCTTCGCCGCCAGGGAGTCGGCGGTCTTCTTGGCGTCCCCGAGCAGCATCTCGGTGTTCTCCTTGTAGAAGACGGGGTTGTCGAGGTCCGCGTAGCCGCCGCCCATAGAGCGCTTGCAGAAGATGACCTTCTTGGAGCGCCAGACCTCGATGAGGGGCATGCCCCAGATGGCGCAGCCCTCCACCTCCTGCGCCGCCGAGTTGACCACGTCGTTGGCGCCCACGACGAGCACGACGTCGTTGCTCTCCATGTCGGGGTTCACCTCGTCCATCTCCAGGACCCACTCGTGGGGGACGCCGGCCTCCGCGAGCAGCACGTTCATCTGCCCCGGCATGCGCCCAGCCACGGGGTGGATGCCGAACTTCACGTTGATCTTGTTGCTGCGGCACAGGTTCGCCAGCTCCCCGATCGAGCCCTGGGCGCGCGCCATCGCCATGCCGTAGCCGGGCACGATGAGCACCTCCTTGGCGTCCACGAGCATCTGGGCGACGGCCGCCACGCTGGTCTCCACGTGCTCCTTCGGCCCGGCGTCCCCCGCCTTGGCCACGGGCTTGTTGTTGATGCCGCCGAAGAGCACGTTGAAGATGTCGCGGTTCATGGCGTCGCACATGATCTTGGTGAGGATGCCTCCGCTGAAGCCGATGAGCGAGCCGACGATGGTCAGCACGGTGCTCTTGAGGAGGAAGCCCTCGGCCACCAGGGCCCAGCCGGAGTAGGAGTTCAGCACCGTGATGCACACGGGCATGTCGCCGCCGCCGACGGAGCCCACGAGGTGCACGCCCATCAGGCACGCGAGGACGGCCACGGCGAGCAGCAGCTGCACGCCGAAGACGCCGTCCCCCCGCTGCAGGAACACGGCGCCCAGGGCGAGGAAGCCGCAGAGCCCGCCCAGGTTGAGGAGGTTCTTCCCCGGCAGGCTCAGCGGCGTCGACTTGAGGTTCCCGTTCAGCTTGCCGAAGGCGATGATGCTGCCGGTGAGCGTGACGCCGCCGATGAAGTCCCCGAGCACGGCGGCGATGTTCTCCATGCTCGCCCCCGCCTCCGGGTGGACGTAGAAGGAGCCGATGGAGGTGGCGGTCGCGGCGAAGCCGACCAGGGAGTGGAACGCCGCGACGGTCTGCGGCAGGGCGATGGGGCTCACCCTCCTGCCCACCACCAGGCCCTGGGCGCCGCCCAGCGCCAGGAGGCCCAGGGCCCAGCAGAGGTTGTCGCCGCGGACCGGCACCATGGTGGCCACGAGCGCGCCGAAGACGCCCAGCATGCCGAACTTGCAGCCCGCCTCCGCGGTCTTGAAGCTGGCGAGGCCTGCGGCGAAGGGCGGGGGGCCGAGTCCGAGATGCCTCCAAGTTCGCACAAGAAACCTCTAAGACGGACCAAGACGGCCCCAAAGGCCTCCGAGAGGCCTCCAAGACGGCCCAAGAGGCCTCCAAGAGGTCCTCCACGAGGGCCCGAAGAGGCCAAAATCGTTGATTTTCCCTAGGTTTTTGAAGGATTCTGGCTTTTGCTATTTCCCAGCCGTCCGACGACACACGACGGCTCAAGAGGGCCGAAAGTTTTGGCACCAGAGCGCCCAAGAGGCCTCCCAGATGGCCCTATGACGGCCCAAGAGGCCTCCAAGACGGTTCCAAGAGGGCCCCAAGACTGCCCAAGAGGCCTCCAAGACGCCCAAGATGGCCTCCAAGACGGGCACGATAACCACCAAGATGCCTCCAAGACGGACAAGATGACCTCCAAGACGGCCAAGATGGCCGCTAAGACGGCCAAGATGGCCCAAGATGGGCCCGAGAGGCTTCCCAGATGGCCCCAGAGGAATCCAAGAGGCTCTCCAGGTAGGCCCGAGGAAGCCAAAACCGTAGATGTTAATTGGGTCTGTGAAGAATGTTGGCTTTTCTTCCGTTGTGGTGCTCAGACCGCCCAAGGCGGCCCAAGGAATTCCCAAAATCATCCCAGAGGCATCCACGATGGCTCCAGAACGGCCCAAGAGGCCCCCAAGCCAGCCCCAAGAGGGTCCCAAGAGGGCCCAAGAGGCCTCCAAGACGCCCAGGATGGCCTCTACGATGCCTCCAAGACGGCCAAGATGGCCTCCAAGACGGCCGAGATGGCCTCCAAGACGGCAGACCCCAAGAGAGCCGAAGATAGCCCAAGAAGCGTCCAAGATGCCTCCAAGAAAGCCCAAGATGCCTCCAAGAGCTCCGCCAGGAAGGCCCGAAGAGGTCAACATCATTGCGTGTCCTTCGGTGTTTTAGGGGTTTGGGCATTTTCTTCTTTTCAGCTCTCCGACGGCCCAATGCGGCCCAACATCGCCCCAAGAGCGCCCAAGAGGCCTCCAAGATGGCCCCATGACAGGCCAAGAGGCCCCCAAGAGGGCCCCAGCAAGACCCCAAGACGGCCCAAGAGGCCCCCAAGACGCCCAAGACGGCCTCCAAGACGGCCAAGATGGCCTCCAAGGTGCCTCCAAGACGGCCAAGAAGGCCTCCGAGACGGCCAAGATGGCCCCAAGATGCACCCAAGACGGCCCCAGATGGCCTGAAGATGACCTTCGACTGCCCAAAATAGGAAGGCACCAACTATACACCAACACCGATCCTGGCCTGGATCACCCTGGGCCCAGGATCGGTGTATACGCCCTCCTGCCTTTCGCAAGAAGGCATATACACCGATCCTGGGCCCAGGGTGATCCTGGGCCAGGATCGGTGTTGGTGTATAGTTGGTGCCCTCCGACAAAAGGCCCGCCAAAGGCCTCCAAGACGGCCTAAGACCCCTCCAAGACGTCCTCCAGGAGGCCCGAAAGCTCGGAAACCACCTGGTCCGATAGCTCGCCCGACTCCGTGTTCCCCGAAGGCTTTCGAAACCCAAACGGGGAACGCGTGGCCCGATAGCTTGGCCAAGCTCAAACCCAACTTTCGGTCACGCAGGCGCTTCCAAAAAGGAAGGGGGCGGCGGTGATTCGCCGTAGGCGTCTTCGATAACGCCACCGTCCCAATATGCGCTGATGATTCCTATGGGCCCCCGCATGATGTTCCCAGATGCGCCAAGGCAGCGCCGAGACGCACCGACGCGACTGTGATATATCCCATTCTGGAAGAGGGGGGCCGGCGGCAGGGGGCGAAGCCCTTACCGATATATGTTTCGCGTTCTTGCTGGTAGAGGCCAAACCGGCTCAAGACGGCGTCAAGACAGCCCACAGATGGCCCACGAGGGCCCTCAGACGACCCAAGAGGCCGCCCAGACGTACCAAAAAAGCCTTCGAGAGGGCCCCAGGAGGGGGAACTTGCAAGGACCCCGGGGCCCTCCCCCACAAGATGCCACCAAGAGGCCTCCAGAGGGCCCCTAACCCCAGAAGCCCTGAAAAGGCTCCAGGAGGCCGCCCCCCTGGGCCTCGAAGAGGCGCCCAAGAAACCCCGCAACAGCCGCGAAATAAGACGAGGCCGAAGCACCCGTAGTTGCACGCAGGCAGCACGACGGGAAGCAGTGAGAAACGCATCCGAAACCGGAGAGGCCGCACGTCTCCTCTTGTGGGGATCGGCGGAATGACCTAAGCCTCTTGAGCGCACGGGGGGCAAGGAGACGCGCACCTCTCCAGCATGCCCCTGGGCACGCGGTGGCAGCCTCGAGGCCGCTCGGGGCCCCTCCGCTCGCCTGCAGCCCTCGGCCCACCCTCGCTGACTGCCCCCCGCTGCCGAGCGCCCGATGCTTGCTGGCAGGCTCGCTCCAGGCGCGCTGGCTTGGTGTCCGTCGCGGGGCGCCCCCCTGCCCGGCGCAGGCGCGCCCGCGTCTCGGAGGGTCGCGGGAGTCCCGCGCTCCGCGCGCCCAGGCGGCCTCCCCCCTCCCTCCTCGTCCAGTGCCTTGGCCCCCGCGGCGAACGGCACGCATATGGTCGCCGACGGTGCAGGCAAGCTGCTGCACCCCAGGGAACGCTGAGCAAG